CTACTTCTTGCAACTGTTGCCGTTCTGATATACCTCGATATAGAACGGGTCCTTAATACTAACAACAACTACTCCTTGCAATTGTCGCCGGTCTGAGATACCTCGATATAGAACGGGTCCTTAATACTAACAACAACTACTACTTGCAATTGTTGCCGTTCTGATATACCTCGATATAGAACGGGGGTCCTTAATACGAACAACAACAACTACTCCTTGCAATTGTCGCCGGTCTGAGATACCTCGATATAGAACGGGTCCTTAATACTAACAACAACTACTTCTTGCAACTGTTGCCGCTCTGAGATACCTCGATATAGAACGGGTCTTTAATACTAACAACAACTACTTCTTGCAACTGTTGCCGTTCTGATATACCTCGATATAGAACGGGTCCTTAATACTAACAACAACAACTACTCCTTGCAATTGTCGCCGGTCTGAGATACCTCGATATAGAACGGGTCCTTAATACTAACAACAACTACTACTTGCAACTGTTGCCGTTCTGATATACCTCGATATAGAACGGGTCCTTAATACGAACAACAACAACTACTCCTTGCAATTGTTGCCGGTCTGAGATACCTCGATATAGAACGGGTCCTTAATACGAACAACAACTACTTCTTGCAACTGTTGCCGTTCTGAGATACCTCGATATAGAACGGGTCCTTAATACTAACAACAACTACTTCTTGCAACTGTTGCCGTTCTGAGATTCCTCGATATAGAACGGGTCCTTAATACGAACAACAACTACTCCTTGCAACTATTGCCGTTCTGAGATTCCTCGATATAGAACGGGTCCTTAATACGAACAACAACTACTTCTTGCAACTGTTGCCGTTCTGAGATACCTCGATATAGAACGGGTCCTTAATACTAACAACAACTACTTCTTGCAACTGTTGCCGCTCTGAGATACCTCGATATAGAACGGGTCCTTAATACTAACAACAACTACTTCTTGCAACTGTTGCCGTTCTGATATACCTCGATATAGAACGGGTCCTTAATACGAACAACAACAACTACTCCTTGCAATTGTCGCCGGTCTGAGATACCTCGATATAGAACGGGTCCTTAATACTAACAACAACTACTTCTTGCAACTGTTGCCGCTCTGAGATACCTCGATATAGAACGGGTCTTTAATACTAACAACAACTACTTCTTGCAACTGTTGCCGTTCTGATATACCTCGATATAGAACGGGTCCTTAATACGAACAACAACAACTACTTCTTGCAATTGTCGCCGGTCTGAGATACCTCGATATAGAACGGGTCCTTAATACTAACAACAACTACTACTTGCAACTGTTGCCGTTCTGATATACCTCGATATAGAACGGGTCCTTAATACGAACAACAACAACTACTCCTTGCAATTGTCGCCGGTCTGAGATACCTCGATATAGAACGGGTCCTTAATACTAACAACAACTACTACTTGCAACTGTTGCCGTTCTGATATACCTCGATATAGAACGGGTCCTTAATACGAACAACAACAACTACTCCTTGCAATTGTCGCCGGTCTGAGATACCTCGATATAGAACGGGTCCTTAATACTAACAACAACTACTTCTTGCAACTGTTGCCGTTCTGATATACCTCGATATAGAACGAGTCCTTAATACGAACAACAACAACTACTCCTTGCAATTGTTGCCGGTCTGAGATACCTCGATATAGAACGGGTCCTTAATACGAACAACAACTACTTCTTGCAACTGTTGCCGTTCTGAGATACCTCGATATAGAACGGGTCCTTAATACTAACAACAACTACTTCTTGCAACTGTTGCCGCTCTGAGATACCTCGATATAGAACGGGTCCTTAATACTAACAACAACTACTTCTTGCAACTGTTGCCGTTCTGATATACCTCGATATAGAACGGGTCCTTAATACGAACAACAACAACTACTCTTTGCAATTGTCGCCGGTCTGAGATACCTCGATATAGAACGGGTCCTTAATACTAACAACAACTACTTCTTGCAACTGTTGCCGTTCTGAGATACCTCGATATAGAACGGGTCCTTAATACGAACAACAGCTACTTCTTGCAACTGTTGCCGTTCTGAGATACCTCGATATAGAACGGGTCCTTAATACGAACAACAACTACTTCTTGCAACTGTTGCCGTTCTGAAATACCTCGATATAGAACGGGTCCTTAATACGAACAACAACTACTTCTTGCAACTGTTGCCGTTCTGAGATACCTCGATATAGAACGGGTCCTTAATACGAACAACAACTACTTCTTGCAACTGTTGCCGTTCTGAGATACCTCGATATAGAACGGGTCCTTAATAGTACGAACAACAACTGCTTCTTGCAACTGTTGCCGTTCTGAGATACCTCGATATAGAACGGGTCCTTAATAGTACGAACAACAACTGCTTCTTGCAACTGTTGCCGTTCTGAGATACCTCGATATAGAACGGGTCCTTAATACGAACAACAACAACAACAACTACTCCTTGCAACTGTTGCCGTTCTGAGATACCTCGATATGGAACGGGCCATATACATATATAGTATAAAGATTCTGCGGTTGATTGGTTACCAAGTTGTATGTCGACATGTGCAATATTTGAACAGTTCGAAAACCATGAATGTATTACTGACACTTGGAATAGAATCCGCACTTAAGTCACTACAGACGAACGCACCAACCATAGACCCACCGACAACTGTCGAACAAGCTTGAAAAGAAAATTCACAAGATAGGTACAGGTAAACACACGTGCGAATGTATCTAATACTGGGTAAAACGGGAATGACGCTCATTCACCATCAACTTAAAAACCATTGTGTAGACGTTTCCGAATTAATTCAGAAAAGGATTTAAGGAGCAGAAATATGACCATGAGACGTTTCCATAAAGAGACATTGAATTATCTTATCTGAACTGCCTTCCATCAATGCAGATTTTGATAAGCTGGAGTCAAGAACGTGACCTGATGGATAATGAAAAAATATAATTCAATACTAGCATTCAGCGCGAACTTCTGGAACCGTGCAAGAAGATTCTATCACACAGTTTTTTAACATGTGGTCTCACTCTCAGTTAGCAAGCTTACGCTGCACAATGAAACATGTTTTTCGTTTAATAAATGGATACGTATGGTGCGTAGCATCAGTTTGTCTTCAGGATAAATGAGTTGCGAGTATCCCCAGGGATAAATAAATAAAGTAGAGTTTTTTCCTTTATCCAAACTAATTTAACGGAGATGATTGTCAGACTTGAGGATTTCTGGGACAAAACACGTTCACTAGAAGGAAACTGTCTCCTTGAACTCTTATCACACTAAGTCCCCCTCCAGAACTCACGTTGACATATATTTTGTAGCCTTCGCTTGTCATCTCACTGAACAAAGCAAAAAATATTTACAGGCAAAATTACAATTTGTCATCAATACATATGTTCGTGTGACTTCTACCCGCACAAAACAATAAAAAAATGTTATTACTTCTACGAGTAATTACATGTTATAGCGTTCATTGTTCAGCAACTCGGGCACGTATTTGATTGCTTCCATGTAAAGCTATCAGTTGGCCAGGTATTTTCTTTGATATCGCTTGTCAATCAACAGTTTGGACGCTGAACTGTGTAGGGTAAATGGCATGATGAAACCTGCCTATATTCCTGTGAGTGTACAGGCGTTCAAACCAACTGGAATACCTGCGAGCAATCTGTTTTAGTTGATTACTGACAAATACCTATGTTTGCAGTCGAACGCGGGTTTAAGCACTGATCAATACCTAGCTGACTTGATGAGATGGTTAACATTGGCACATACCCGTGGTAGTCATAGCAGAACGGTTTATCAGAACCTCAAAGTATTGCCCAGGCTACACAGCGCTGGATTAAGTAAATATGTACAAATAACAGGGGAATAAATAAAGCTTTTAAAAGCATGGACGCGTGTCATCTTTTTGCAAATGTTTGCTAAGTATAGGAGATTAATTATGGCAATGCGTGAGAAACTGTTTCCTCGTCTCCTCTGCTGTGTTTACCTCATGCCGCGAAGTGCAATCATCCAACGTCTAATTGATGCATTACGTAAACAGCTATACCAAACCAGCGTGTGATGAATGATTCAATAGTAATATCGTGTGTCGCAGATGCTGCGTCGTGGAATGAAATTAATATAGACGTCTGAGTCAGATACGATAGATCTACAGCTCATTTGAATCCCACGGGTCCGAGACACGCATAACCATTTAAGTAAAAGTACAGATCAAGCTGCCTATATGAGACACATCCCGATAAGGTTTTAGTCGAGACATATATATGTCTTCATTTACTGCATATTTGTGGAGCTATTTGAAGGTATTATCCCCATTTAAGCGGCTTAGCGAGGGATAGACTGACCGTTGAGGATGTGTTCGGTGTCGTGTAAACAACAGAGATGGGTAATCTTCTCAGTAAAACATACGACAGATACTACGAGATGACTGTGGTCAGACAACTACATCGCGATTGACTGATGCGGAGATTGCGTGCGCCTTTTAAGTCCTTGTTTATGAGTATGAAAAGACGGGATTCGTGCCTTATCTTGAACGTAGAGCTGCTGTAAGCTACTGTTGGCATTTGACGGTGGATAACATGAGAGGTAGTATTTAGGGGCAATATTTGTATTTCGTTTGAATATACATGTGCACGATTCTGATCTTATCTTTATAAGAATTACACGTATTTGTTAAACAAACTCATTTCTGTTGTCCCCGCCGCGATTGACTGGAATATTGCTAAAAGCGGCGTAAAACCATACTCATTCACTCAACTACATATATGACTGATTAAATGTCCTATTAAGATCAACACGATCTGTAGGCGTGGAACGTGAGGATTATTGGAATAACGCGATGCAATCTGGAGAAAGAACGGCACTGACAAGTTCACGCCAGGTTTTCTGCGTTCTCTGAACGCTCGCTGTCAGGTCTGTTATCCGGCGTCAGGTTCCCATTTCTCGGATTGTCGAGTATGGGAGTAGCTGCATCCTCATCTCAGTGCCAATCAGCTGTCGTGCTGGTGCAGATTCCATTGCTCCTGGAGCTGTGATGTTTATGTTGACAGTTCCGCATGTTCTGCGACCACGTGTGTGTCGAGTCCTCGTGCTCCACGCGCCGTTATCTGTAGTGCACTCTGTACGCGATGGAAGCCGTGGTGTATCCCGTGTGTCGGTGCACGCAGTGATATAACACTTGTGTCCGTTAAAGACGGTGTGTTGAACACTTGTGTTCGAATAGAAGCCGTGGAACCACATTGGAAGCAGATGAAAAACCTTTCCTGTATGCATGTATCTATCTGTTTAGGGGAAACCCGACAAAAGGATTATACAGGCAACAGCTACACGTGATTCTTCCTTCCTAGGAACAAGGGCACTTCTTTTGTTGTTATTTTATCGGAGAAGCGACCAGTTGATGCTTACGCTATAACGCTGGGGCAAGGTTGCGAGTTTATTATTTCACTGGACAATACACCTGTTTCATCACTAAGTGGACTTTGTTCTCCAGAACGTCTGCATCGGATTACTATTGTTTACCTCCATCCAATCAAGACAGGTGTGCTAGGTAGCATTGGTTCACACGACAGGTAAGCTAGGTGCTTCAGTGTGCAACTGTTTTATGTAGATTATGATTTTATTGAGTGTACGTTCTGGTTAAAGTAATGGGCTTCTTTATTTGTTGTTCAACGCCACACTCAGAAATATTACAGCTACATGACGGCGGTCTGTAAATAATCGAGTCTGGACCAGACAATCCAGTGATTGATGTCATGAACACCGATCCACGCAATTGGGATCGATGACATGCATCAACCGAGGGAGCCTGACTACCCGATCTCGTTAGTCACCTCTTACGACAAGCATAGTCGCCTTTTACGGCAAGGATGGTTGCTGAAGACCTATTCTACCCCGGATCTTCACGGGTGTAATTGTCATGTACCAGATTCAACGCTAACCCTAACGTGAGTGGACAAATCGTAGAAAGGGGAAGTTATGTCACAAAAAACATGTCGGAGTGTCATCGATATTGTCATCAGTGTAGTAACGCTCCCAGATAGTAAACTGGTATATTGGGAACTCCTAGAAATTTTTTAATTCATATATATAATACGCTCACCGTGATATGAAAACTGTTTATTGCCATTCTACCTGTACCACCAACATATGTGTATGTATATAAATATATGTAATATATAATTATTACAACACCAACAAATATCTCTTAAACGTCCCACGTATCTCGGTACCAGCTGTTCCCGCGGCCTGACTACTGGAAGCCTACATATAGCAAGTGTACAGGTCACAGATAGCAGATGTCAGCATATATATATATGCGTATTTTACCGCAGTGATATTGTAAGGTAACATCGGTAATGTCATTGCTTATCGTGGGCACGGGTGGCCCAGTCGTCTAAGGCGCCGCGATTCGCTGTGCAGAGTTGCGTCCCTTGGGCATGCCAGAAACCTATGGTTGTGGGTTCGAATCCCGGTTCGCCCTGATTATCTTTCTAGGTTTGTCAGCACCATACCCGTGCTCGTGGGTTTCACCGAAGTGGTAAACGTCTAAGACCTGCATCACTTCGGGCTTTCCTCCCACATTAAGCTGACACGCCGTGATATAACTGGAATACTGTAAAAAGCGGCGTTAAACCCAACTCACTCACTCACTCATTGCTTATCGTGGTTACACATCTGACGGAGGAGTTTTAAAGTTCACTGCGCTACCCCAATCCGTGAAGATCCGGGTTAGAATAGGTCTTCAGCAACCGTGCTTGCCGTAAAAGGCGACTACAGCCTTAATACCACATTTAATAACAATATCAATACTAATAATAAATACGTGGTAGCAGATACGTTTACATCAATATTAATTATTCGTATAGAATTAGTATTGGTATCAGTAACATATGAATTTTTAATATTGACATTGATATCGTCCCATCAGTCTGGTTTATTGGGACCTGTTTCAATGATTGTTCAAACACATCTCTTTCTGAACGAGAACCTTGGATAGGTTGATGCCCTAGGGGGATGCGGAGATCAGTGTCAGCAGCAAATAAGAGTCGCATAAGATCATTAACATATGAAATTACATATAACGAGAAAAGATACTTGTTAATAAGACATTCGGGATTAATTTTTATCGATTTCTCCGAAAAGGGTTATATTGTATGCCGCCTCTCACACGGCGAGGTACAGATAATCACTCCATCAAACTTGAATGTTGAAATTCAACAGCAATCCCACAAACCAGAACACTGACGATGCTTCTGAGATGGAACCAATACGTGTATTTACACAATGACCCACTTATGCCGATAACGACCTATTTCACGACTCGGTGAGTTGCAAAGCGACATCAACTCAACCTTATGGTTTTCACATTATCTCGTATGCCCCACAGTGCTTGCTTGTATTTCCACAATCATGGCGGAAACATTGGAAAAAAATGAAAGTATTGTCACAGCGGGTCGTGAAAACAAGCGTTATTTATTTTCCTGGTCTATCTATAAAGAAAACATTTCGATCCGGATCATTTCACTACCTACAGCACGTTGTACAACACAATGATCGTTGTTTACATGCTATACTACTCAAATGAAGTTAAGGAACTGCCCATTCTTTCATGCTGCTGTAGTTAATTTGCAATGTCATGACCCGATTTTTGATAGCATGACAGATTAACCATAGTAATATGAAAGAATCGGATTTTCTTAATTTCATGTAAGTAGTATATTATTTTGAAGATGGAGAGAGTTTTCACGCACCAACTCAATGATGAGATAGTCAAACATGTCTAATACCGTTTTTCCTGTAGGGAAATATATGGAATTTGCTTTGTCAACAATTGTTTTTCTTCACAACTTTGTGATTCCCTTAATGCATAAGGGTACAGCAGCATACATCCAATACATGACTGTTTTCTGCCCGGGTGCCCTTGTGTTGCGGTAACTGTGCCTTGAAGGCGGTTCGTCACATTTGACTAATGAATTGTCAAATTTCACATTTGACTACTGGTAATAAAGGATAAGTGGAATCAACTCACAAAACGCGTTTGAGACAAGTAGGCGGTGCATAGAATTTGGGCAAAGATATTTGGTTTGTCACAAGCACACGTGTTATGCACGTGCAGGTCATGACGGTGACATTGACAACGCTCACGTTGACACACGTGTTGCTCTTAATGCTATTAAGAGGTCGGTCTGACAAGTCGATGGCAGAATTTTCTTAAAGTCGTTAAAAAGAAGTAAATTACGAACGAATTAAGTCGAAGCTAGGTTGGCATGACCTAATCATAACAAACTCAGGCTCTAGAACTGGCCTATAATATCATACATCACATTATGATTAATTAAGGATTTTGACATTTAGTGAACTATCACTACGTTAAGGTCTCAGCCTTTGATGAATGACATGACACTATTTCATTATTGACCTCAACCTTCACAATCATTTGATGAATGACATGACACTTTCATTATTGGTCTCTGGGGGTAAAAAAATGTATTCCACTTTTACAGCAAATGACTTCCCTTCATTGTCACGATATTTCTCAATTGTTGTCATCTATGAAAATTTGCTGTCACCGTTTTCACAGCTCTCTGGCACCTCACATCTGCACGTCCTATTATGTGTTATTGAACTTGCCCCTAGAACTCGTTGTTAGCCGAGACAGGACACGCACTACTTGTCGCGGACCACCCGCTACCCCTTTCACAGTGGTAAACGCCAGTGGGCGGATCTCATACATCGTCATACGGGGTTAGTTGTCATGTGACAAATGAACACATCATGGCTTACCACTAGTTTTATGTCGCTGTTTAAATTTTTCAGTCTGTCAAATTGTAGTTTTATCACGGTTGACTTCACTCTTGATTGACCGCCTCCGTGGTCTAGTGGTAGAGCGTCCGCCCGGAGAGCGGAAGGTCCGGGGTTCGATCCCCGGCCGCTTCATACCAAAAAACGTTTAAAGGTGGTACTTGTTGGTACCCAGTCTGGCGCTCGGCATTAAGGGGCTAAACCAAGGACTGGTCGGCTCGGAGTCAGTATACTGTGTCTGGGTGGGGTATTCATGTTAAACTGCGGCATGGTATCTCAGTCAGCTAGCACTATAAATCGGCATCAGTCTGGACTAGTGCAAGCAGCCACACACACACACACACACACACACCTCTCTTGATTGTCACTTCAACCCTTTGCTATTGAACAATACACCTATCACGATTCATAGCCGCCCAGAATCGGACAAGGTTATCCCCTGACGTCATAACCTAAATTGTTACCCCCAAACTTGCATGTTAATTAGTGCCCGCGCCATTCTATACCGCACAGGATCAAGCAACGACAGGAACAGCACCATATACTTTTACCTGGGCACATCAGATCAGACTACACATGCACATATCTATCCATATACAGACGAACACAAAACGCCACTGTTACCTTTGAATAACAATGCGTTGTTCAGTACACAAGGGGCGGTCGGGTAGCCTAGTGGTTAAGGCGTTCGCTCGTCACGCTGAAGATCCGGGTTCGATTCCCGACATGGGTACAATGTGAGAAGCTAGAATATTGCTAAAAGCGGCGGAAAACCATACTCACTCACTCACTCACTTACACACTCAGTACAGAAATATGAGGTTATATCTAATTGTGACCCTGTGTTTTAGCAAGTAAGCAAGTTTGAGTGTGCGCATGCATCATGTACTTCAACACAGCTGGTTTGTAAACGCTTGGACTGAGGGAAATGGCCCGGACGTGTCTCCACAATGTGCGCGAACGTGAGTGTTGTTTGACGGCTCACTCAGCAATATTCTAGGTATATGACGAAAATTGAATCTGGATCTGGCGACTGATGGCGACGGCGTACAATGCCACGTTATGAACCAATTTAAACGTATTCGGATACACGGGATCACTTTGTGTGGCCCTTTGCCACCCATTCTAACACAATATCTCCAACCGACCGACTCCGCCTGTGTGTTTCAGTGACATCTGGAAGTATCTTCACAGCGGTATCTATAGCCTTTGTGTGTTTCTGTGACATAGGGACGTGTCTTCACAATGGTATCTATAGTCCTTGTCTGTGTGTTTCAGAAACATCGGGACGTGTCTTTACAATGGTATCTTTAGTCCTTGTCTGTGTGTTTCTGTGACATAGGGACGTGTCTTCACATTTGTATCTATATTCCTTGTCTATGTGTTTCAGTGACATCTGGAAGTGTCTTTACAATGGTATCTATAGTCCTTGTCTATGTGTTTCAGTGATAAGGGACGTGTCTCTACAATGGTATCTATAGTCCTTGTCTGTGTGTTTCAGTGACATCTGGAAGTGTCTTTACAATGGTATCTATGGTCCTTGTCTGTGTGTTTCAGTGACATCTGGAAGTGTCTTTACAATGGTATCTATAGTCCTTGTCTGTGTGTTTCAGTGACATCTGGAAGTGTCTTTACAATGGTATCTTTAGTCCTTGTCTATGTGTTTCAGTGACATAGGGACGTGTCTTTACAGTGGTATCTATGGTCCTTGTCTGTGTGTTTCAGTGACATCTGGAAGTGTCTTTACAGTGGTATCTTTAGTTCTTGTATGTGGGTTTCAGTGACATAGGGAAGTGTCGTTACAGTGGTATCTTTAGTCCTTGTCTGTGTGTTTCAGTGACATCTGGAAGTGTCTTTACAATGGTATCTTTAGTCCTTGTCTATGTGTTTCAGTGACATAGGGACGTGTCTTTACAGTGGTATCTATGGTCCTTGTCTGTGTGTTTCAGTGACATCTGGAAGTGTCTTTACAGTGGTATCTATAGTCCTTGTCTGTGTGTTTCAGTGACATAGGGACGTGTCTTTACAATGGTATCTTTAGTCCTTGTCTGTGTGTTTCTGTGACATAGGGACGTGTCTTCACATTTGTATCTATATTCCTTGTCTATGTGTTTCAGTGACATCTGGAAGTGTCTTCACAATGGTATCTATAGTCCTTGTCTATGTGTTTCAGTGACATCTGGACGTGTCTTTACAATGGTATCTATAGTTCTTGTATGTGGGTTTCAGTGACATCTGGAAGTGTCTTTACAGTGGTATCTTTAGTCCTTGTCTGTGTGTTTCAGTGACATCTGGAAGTGTCTTTACAATGGTATCTTTAGTCCTTGTCTATGTGTTTCAGTGACATAGGGACGTGTCTTTACAGTGGTATCTATGGTCCTTGTCTGTGTGTTTCAGTGACATCTGGAAGTGTCTTTACAGTGGTATCTATGGTCCTTGTCTGTGTGTTTCAGTGACATCTGGAAGTGTCTTTACAATGGTATCTTTAGTCCTTGTCTGTGTGTTTCAGTGACATCTGGAAGTGTCTTTACAATGGTATCTATAGTCCTTGTCTGCGTGTTTCAGTGCCATAGGGACGTGTCTTTACAATGGTATCTTTAGTCCTTGTCTGTGTGTTTCAGTGACATAGGGACGTGTCTTTACAATGGCATCTTTAGTCCTTGTCTGCGTGTTTCAGTGCCATAGGGAAGTGTCTTTACAGTGGTATCTTTAGTCCTTGTCTGCGTGTTTCAGTGCCATAGGTAAGTGTCTTTACAGTGGTATCTTTAGTCCTTGTCTGCGTGTTTCAGTGACATAGGGACGTGTCTTTACAATGGCATCCATATTCCTTGTCTATGTGTTTCACGGACCTCTGGAAGTGTCGTTACAGTGGTATCTTTAGTTCTTGTATGTGGGTTTCAGTGACATCTGGAAGTGTCGTTACAGTGGTATCTTTAGTTCTTGTATGTGGGTTTCAGTGACATCTGGAAGTGTCTTCACAATGGTATCTATAGTCCTTGTCTGTGTGTTTCAGTGCCATCTGGAAGTGTCTTTACAATGGTATCTTTAGTTCTTGTATGTGGGTTTCAGTGACATCTGTAAGTGTCTTTACAATGGTATCTATAGTCCTTGTCTGTGTGTTTCAGTGACATCTGGAAGTGTCTTTACAATGGTATCTATAGTCCTTGTCTGTGTGTTTCAGTGACATCTGGAAGTGTCTTTACAATGGTATCTATAGTCTTTGTCTGTGTGTTTCAGTGACATCTGGAAGTGTCTTTACAATGGTATCTGTAGCCTTTTTGTGTTTCTGTGACATCTGGACGTGTCTTCACAATGGTATCTATAGTCCTTGTCTGTGTGTTTCAGTGACATCGGTACGTGTCTTTGCAACGGCATATATAGCCTTTGTATGTTTCGGTGACATCTGGACGTGTCTTCACAATGGTATCCTGAGTCCTCGTCTATGTGTTTCACTGACATCTGGAAGTGTCTTTACAATGGTATCTATAGTCCTTGTCTGTGTGTTTCAGTGACATCTGGAAGTGTCTTCACAATGGTATCTATAGTCCTTGTATGTGTGTTTCAGTGACATCTGGAAGTGTCTTTACAATGGTATCTATAGTCCTTGTCTATGTGTTTCAGTGACATCTGGAAGTGTCTTTACAATGGTATCTATAGTCCTTGTCTGTGTGTTTCAGTGACATCTGGAAGTGTCTTTACAATGGTATCTATAGTCCTTGTCTGTGTGTTTCTGTGACATCTGGAAGTGTCTTCACAATGGTATCTATAGTCCTTGTCTGTGTGTTTCTGTGACATCTGGAAGTGTCTTCACAATGGTATCTATAGTCCTTGTCTGTGTGTTTCAGTGAAATCTGGAAGTGTCTTTACAATGGTATCTGTAGCTTTTTTGTGTTTCTGTGACATCTGGAAGTGTCTTTACAATGGTATCTATAGTCCTTGTCTGTGTGTTTCTGTGACATCTGGAAGTGTCTTTACAATGGTATCTATGGTCCTTGTCTGTGTGCTTCAGTGACATCTGGAAGTGTCTTTACAATGGTATCTGTAGCCTTTTTGTGTTTCTGTGACATCTGGACGTGTCTTTACAATGGTATCTATAGTCCTTGTCTGTGTGTTTCAGTGACATCTGGAAGTGTCTTTACAATGGTATCTATAGTCCTTGTCTGTGTGTTTCAGTGACATCTGGAAGTGTCTTTACAATGGTATCTCTAGTCCTTGTCTGTGTGTTTAAGTGACATCTGGAAGTGTCTTTACAATGGTATCTATAGTCCTTGTCTGTGTGTTTCTGTGACATCTGGAAGTGTCTTTACAATGGTATCTATAGTCCTTGTGTGTGTGTTTCAGTGACATCTGGAAGTGTCTTTACAATGGTATCTATAGTCCTTGTCTGTGTGTTTCAGTGAAATCTGGAAGTGTCTTTACAATGGTATCTGTAGCTTTTTTGTGTTTCTGTGACATCTGGAAGTGTCTTTACAATGGTATCTATAGTCCTTGTCTGTGTGTTTCAGTGACATCTGGAAGTGTCTTTACAATGGTATCTATAGTCCTTGTCTGTGTGTTTCAGTGACATCTAGACGTGTCTTTACAATGGTATCTATAGTCCTTGTCTGTGTGTTTCAGTGACATCTGGAAGTGTCTTTACAATGGTATCTATGGTCCTTGTCTGTGTGTTTCAGTGACATCTGGAAGTGTCTTTACAATGGTATCTATAGTCCTTGTATGTGTGTTTCAGTGACATCTAGAAGTGTCTTTACAATGGTATCTGTAGCCTTTTTGTGTTTCTGTGACATCTGGAAGTGTCTTTACAATGGTATCTATAGTCCTTGTCTGTGCGTTTCAGTGACATCTGGAAGTTTCTTTACAATGGTATCTATAGTTCTTGTCTAGATGTTTCTGTGACATCTAGACGTGTCTTTACAATGGTATCTATAGTCCTTTTCTGTGTGTTTCAGTGACATCTGGAAGTGTCTTTACAATGGTATCTGTAGCCTTTTTGTGTTTCAGTGACATCTGGAAGTGTCTTTACAATGGTATCTATAGTCCTTGTCTGTGTGTTTCAGTGACATCGGTACGTGTCTTTGCAACGGCATATATAGCCTTTGTATGTTTCAGTGACATCTGGACGTGTCTTCACAATGGTATCCTGAGTCCTTGTCTATGTGTTTCAGTGACATCTGGAAGTGTCTTCACAATGGTATCTATAGTCCTTGTCTGTGCGTTTCAGTGACATCTGTAAGTGTCTTTACAATGGTATCTATAGTTCTTGTCTAGGTGTTTCTGTGACATCTGGACGTGTCTTTACAATGGTATCTATAGTTCTTGTCTGTGTGTTTCAGTGACATCTGGAAGTGTCTTTACAATGGTATCTATAGTCCTTTTCTGTGTGTTTCAGTGACATCTGGAAGTGTCTTTACAATGGTATCTGTAGCCTTTTTGTGTTTCTGTGACATCTGGAAGTGTCTTTACAATGGTATCTATAGTCCTTGTCCATGTGTTTCAGTGACATCTGGAAGTGTCTTTACAATGGTATCTATAGTCCGTGTCTGTGCGTTTCAGTGACATCTAGAAGTGTCTTTACAATGGTATCTATAGTTCTTGTCTGTGTGTTTCTGTGACATCTGGAAGTGTCTTTACAATGGTATCTATAGTCCTTGTCTGTGTGTTTCAGTGACATCTGGAAGTGTCTTTACAATGGTATCTATAGTCCTTGTCTGTGTGTTTCAGTGACATCTGGAAGTGTCTTTACAATGGTATCTATAGTCCTTGTCTGTGTGTTTCAGTGACATCTGGAAGTGTCTTTACAGTGGTATCTATAGTCCTTGTCTGTGTGTTTCAGTGACATCTGGAAGTGTCTTTACAATGGTATCTATGGTCCTTGTCTGTGTGTTTCAGTGACATCTGGAAGTGTCTTTACAATGGTATCTGTAGCCTTTTTGTGTTTCTGTGACATCTGGAAGTGTCTTTACAATGGTATCTATGGTCCTTGTCTGTGTGTTTCAGTGACATCGGTACGTGTCTTTGCAACGGCATATATAGCCTTTGTATGTTTCAGTGACATCGGGACGTGTCTTCACAATGGTATCCTGAGTCCGCGTCTATGTGTTTCAGTGACATCTGGAAGTGTTTTCACAATGGTATCTATAGTCCTTGTCTGTGCGTTTCAGTGACATCTGGAAGTGTCTTTACAATGGTATCTATAGTTCTTGTCTAGGTGTTTCTGTGACATCTAGACGTGTCTTTACAATGGTATCTATAGTTCTTGTCTGTGTGTTTCAGTGACATCTGGAAGTGTCTTTACAATGGTATCTATAGTGCTTGTCTGTGTGTTTCAGTGACATCTGGAAGTGTCTTTACAATTGTATCCTTAGTCCTTGGCTGTGTGTTTAAGTGACATCTGGAAATGTTTTCACTATGGTATCTATAGTGCTTGTCTGTGTGTTTCAGTGACATCAGGCCGTGGCTTCATGGCAGGACCAATCATGCCCGTGCTGGTCAACTTGACCCTCTTCTCCTCGATTCCCCGGATGTCCTTGGGTCAGGCCAGGTAGGAACAAAACCTATTATCCACGTCATACCATGTGCTAATTTTCAGCCAAGGATCCAATGACTCACTTTAACATTGCTTTTTGAACGAGGAAACGCAGATAATAACCATGCCAGTGAAACATACATCCGACCACACGACGCATCTATTGTATTTATTCTGAAGTAGTAAGTATATAAACTTCTTGGTAAAAATACATTATTGAGACAACGCTTAAGGGAAACTAGTTTTTTAATGTCCTGCAGCTTAGCAATATCCTCGACAGTATTTACGTCTTCTTTGATAGGCATACAGAAATATTTACTTCTTCTTTGATAGGCATACAGAAGTATTTACTTCTTCTTTGATAGGCATACAGAAGTATTTACTTCGGCTGTTGCTGTTGATCTTGAAGGTGATATCTAATGCTGTGTCTAGGCAAGCTGGCCTTCAAAATATCAAAGTACTAGGTTATGTGCAAGGTTTATCTTCATCTCATCTTCATCAACTGCAAGTCTGTCTTCAGGGATGATATATAGGTTCACGCCAGCAACTTATGTTATACAAACTGCAACTCGGTTGAAATAGGACTAGGATGGATTGAATTTTTTTTATCCACAATCCACATCGTGTTTAAGTTAACTTGTCGTAAAATGAGCTTTACAAAACTCTTCAAAGCATCTGCATTAGAATAACAACGCATCAACACTGACTGAATATTGCATTACGCCGCATCAGGAATCATGCTTGGTGTGTCTTCTACGTACTCTGAAGGCGAAGGTCACCCATTATCGATTAGTGAAATATCACGGTCACAATGTTTTGTGTGTTTATGGTAGAAAGCAATATAACGAAACGGGATCTATTATCAGGCGGGATCAGACGCTGATTTGATATTGGTCAAGGTCAAGGTTACCTGAGGTCAGAAATAAAACAAGGCGCAAATTCACCCAACAAAGGTTGAGTCGACCTAATTTCAAGGTTGAGGTCAAGGTCAATTAATAGTTTCTGGTATTTCATTTCGTGTGTTTAAAGGTGAAGGTCGGTAAATGTTTCAGGTTTTTCTACCATTACGAATCCAATTTTGTCTGCGTATTTCACTTAATATAAATCTGTTTTTCGGGTCTGTTCGGGACAATATCAATTACTGCATACAAAGCGTGTAATCAATATAATACATATGAGAAAACATATCACGCCAATATGAATATAAAATAAACACATTCACATTACGTCGTACAATCAGTATTAATAATACATGTTTTGCTTTATACAAATATGTATTCCAACATGCAGGAATCCCCCATGATGGGAGTTCATGTGTCAAAACATTGCCACCACGTTACAATTAACAGAGCATAGATGTTCGCATTTCGATTAGATCTCGACCTTTGTTGTCACACAGTAGTCCCCGGAGACAGGAGATTATTGCCAGACTTTAGCCATCGATTCCACCCTTCACAACGTGACTATGACTAATAGCGATGCATTATGTGATGAGTGCTATAGTGGGGATCCATGTCCATCCCATGCCGTTGTTAACAAAAGACACAATACATCAGAAGTAACGGTAGTTTAGTCCGTTTAACAATATCAACATAAGCTTTATTATATCGTAAATGATTTGAATAGCATAAGCGTTGTATTCAATTGTCTGTTGACATAATAAACGAGGAGCATTAACAGCTATATGTTGGACCTGTTGCGAACATTTTCACATTTGACGCCTCAGTGAGAAAAACGATTTCCGATGTAATTCCCTGATTTGACTGTACCATATGACCCGTGTGTTTCCAGTTGAATAATTGACTTGCCTATGCATGTGTTTGTGACCCTTTCTGTTGGATGGGGCAGGATAGGCCCACCTTTCCGCTACCATCTGGTATCAACACTATTTGATAGTTATCTATTAACACATGCCCATGGTTGTTTGTTTGTTTGTTGTTTATCGCCGCACTCAGCAATATTCCAGCTATATGACGGCGGTCTGTAAATATTCGAGTCTGGACCAGACAATCTAGTGATGGACACCATGAGCATCGATCCACGCAATTGGGATATGATGACATGCATCAACCAAGTCAGCGTCCCTCCGTTTAGTCGCCTTTTACGGCAAGCAACCTTTGATTGTACAATGACGGAATTGCAGACTCAGCTTTTGGTGGATATTTTGACCATGGAAATGTTTTTGTCTTGTTTATTAGTACCGAAGTATTCCATTTAAAAACACTTTGAGCAGAGATTTCTGATGATTATGGAACAGGTTTTGTCGCTATTGTTTTTGTAATAGAACTGCGACTATGATTCCGTTATGCTCCCGGCGTTTTAATGCCCTGTTTGATGTCAAGTATGTCCTTATAAAACATATGCTTGTGAACGTTGACAATCAATAATAATTTTGACATTTTAATTTCTAAACTTTATATTTTACCCAAACTACCAATATTTAAAATGAAAACTGAGTGAATGGTTATATCACTTGAAATAACTGTACCAAGAACCCGTTATTTATGATCAAACTCAGACGGTTTCCTTGATCAGGACGTCGTGGACTCAACCACGTCGTGGCTCAGGATAAACCAGTCACCAAGACCCTCAAGTCTATTCTGTGAGTGTGCGGCCAAGGGTCATCGTTGATCAGTGAGACTAAATACGTTGTTCAAAGATCGGCTATTTTCATTACAGTCAGTGATGTGAGCGCACGCGCCTAATCCAATCTGCGGACACGTGAGGGATGACCACTGCATCACACTAATGATTATCCCGTGGCTGTACATGAAGCGTGGCGCATCAGTGTGGTCACCAGTCGGCTGAATCATCTTTCATCTCAACCATCACTTGCATCCCCAATGTTATCTCCATCATAATTCTGATGACAGTTTACACGCCGCTGTCTAATACGACACTTAACGTTGCGTATGTTTGAGAACGTGCTCGTATATGGTGTCACCACAATGAAATCTCATCATGATGAGCTTATATGTCGAGCGGCCATTTTAGGTTGAATTTTGTTTGATCGATATTCAATATTGATGTAGTTTGTAGTTGTCGAACGGCCATTTTAAAATGGATTGAATTAGAGTTTAGAGACCACGAAGCCACTTAACTTAACCCAAGAGGGACAACATGTCTATAAAACCATTTAGAAGTATTCTACGATACATTCTACAAAATACCGTTACTTTCTCACCTCCAAATGTTAATGCGTTGTCGGCGTGGCACAATGATCTATTTCTGAAACGCTTTTAGAATAACGATGATGGATTAGTTGTGAAATATCTCTTTGTGACAGTATACCACAATTATTATCTTACCATCCGTGCATGATCCTTCTATAAGTAGTCGTTGTCTAAGGTCTGTATGATATTAGGTATATAGTTATTGTACAGAAATGTACGTCAAACATACAATGAAATTACAGTATATGCTCCTATTCAGGGATGAACGTTACTTAATGTTTGAAATACCACGTTTGTAAAGTGTATTAATAACATAGATTTTACTGAATACAATCTGTCTGTTATGTAATAGTTTCTTTAAAATTAGCGGAACAGGCTATACGTTACAACCGATCATTATATCTCAGTTGTAAACAGTGAGTGAGTGAGTGAGAATGGTTTTTCGCCGCATTTAGCAATATTCCAGCAATATCCCGGCGGGGGACACCAGAAATGGGCTTCACACATTTGTACCCATGTGGGGAATCGAACCCGGGTCTTCGGCGTGACGAGCGAACGCTTTAACCACTAGGCTACCCGACAGCCCCCAGAGTTGTAAACAACACTTTAAAGCATTTACGAAGTCAGCTCAAAATAACTATTCCAATGAAAATGTGTGCAAACATATTTATCATAAAGATTCACCGCGTACAAATAATTCATGCATGTTGGAAAGAAGGAATCATTTTGTCTGTTCGAAAATACAATATATTACCTCCCCAAGGGGCGCTGCTATCAATGATAAGGATTTCGCCCGGGACTGTCAATACCTTCCTAATTTGCTCAGTATAACTACAGGCAGTTCCCCGGGGTTTCGTATCATTCTGACCAATCAAATTAACTGTCGACAAACCACGTTACTTGAGAGCATCTGTCACCATATCGCCGTGCTCCACACCCGCTGGGTCACGCCGAGCCACGCCCATCTCAACAACACGGCATAATGTAATTGGTGAAAGATTTATTAAGGTGTCAATGTCATCTCCGAGACCGTAAATTATATTATTTCAGTGTCATCATGTCACTCGAAAGGGTTTTATTTTGAAAGAAAAAATGCGAAAAAGAACTAGCTTTATTTTGGGGACGCTTGGCATCCACCGAATGCAGAATAGGACTTAAACAATAATTAATACCATGTTTTTCGGGTTTTTTAACATTCCTCAGACAAGTGAAGGTCCGGGGTAGAATAGGTCTTCAGCAACCCATACTTGCCGTAAAAGGCGACTATGCTTGTCGTGAGATGCGACTAACGGGATCGGGTGGTCAGGCTCGGTGACTTGGTTGATGCATGTCATCGTATCCCGATTGCGTGGATTGATGATCATGATGTCCATACTCGATTATATACACAGGCCGCCGTCATATAGCTGGAATATTGCTGAGTGCGGCGTTGAACAACAAATAAACAAACAAACAAATAATATTCCTCACATTGATCTTCTTATTTAATTTATGTTATTTGATTTAAATTAGTGAGAATAATTTGCTACTTAACAATCTGGCAGGAGCGTCCTCTCGACTGATTTTATCATTGTAGGTGTGGTGTGGTGTGCAGAAATTATACATTTGGCGAATGCGATTTCCTTCTGCTAGAAATGACCATTCAGGAAAGACCATTACATTTTACAGTCAGCCCGTCTATCATTACATGCACAGTAAACTACGGTTATAACGAGCTCAAAGGGACCACTAATATTTGTTCCTTACAATCGTAGTTCGTCATAAGCATATATACGGCATAACTACAGCAAATAGTCGGGACAAAAAAATAAGTTCGTTATATCCATCAGTTCGTTACAAGCG